GGGAACCGAACTCACGACCTTGTGCTTTCCAGGCAGGCGCTTTGCCACTGAGCTAAATCCCCAGCCCCTCACTTTATTCCTTAATGCATTCGAAAAACATCCTGAATCCCTGACACAAAGATCTGTTTTACATAAATAACTTCTGCTGGGTGAAAAATGACTTAACCCCTTTATTGGCTAATTTTTATTATCTTTCTGCCCAGCACATCTGCCTGCTCCACCCTCCACCTTCTGATGCACTTGCCCCCTCCTCAGATCCTACTCCTCCCACAGCCCAGTCCTGTACCCACAACCTGCTGCTCCTACACACTGTCACTCTCCTGAGGCACCTACACACAGGACACATGCTTTACATCAGAGACTGAGCACAAAGAAAGGGGGTGGTGAAGGCCACATGCCTCATCCACAGTGTTGTGGAGCAGAGCTGGGCAGCCCATGCATCAGCTCAAGAGGGAAGAGACCCCAGAGAGAGACAGCCTGTTCTCTGAATTGGGGTAGGAATAACTGCACACACCAGGGGTGATGACAGGCATGATGCTGTAGACCGGGGCTACCTGAGGCAGGAGCCACTGGGAGGGAGAAAAGAGGAGGGGAGGTCTTCCAGAGAGGGGACCCAAGGCAGAGCTCTTCCCCAGAGAGGCAGGACTGAGAGCAGCTGAAAGGGAAATGTTATGGGCTTTTTCTGTGGAGCTTGAGGAGAGAAGAGCACCAAGCCCTGCTCATCGCTGGAGCAAAACTAGTGTGGAAGAAGTGGGGAAAGCCCCACGGGGTTCGCAACACAACCCTGCTTTACCTGGGTTGGGCTCTGGGAGACCAGGGAGAGTAGCAGGTGCACAGATGCATGTTTTCCTTCGGGGGCGACAAGAGCCACAGCTCTATATTCAGTGAGGCTGTTATGGGGTTGTTTGGCTTTTTTTTTTTTTTTTTTTTTTTAAACTACTTCCTCTTCCACTAGGCAATGAGCATGCACCTTTTTTGTTTTGCTTATTCTGTTTTATTTTTCTTGTTAGTAATTGAAGTGAGATTGACCTAACATAAAATTAAATTCACAGTGCTTTGCAACCACCTCCTCTACTACTGATTTCCCTTATGTCCAGCACCCTAAAATGAATCTAACAAATCATTACCAGCTATATGCCTACTTCCCCCTCTACCTCTCTAGTCCTGACACCATAAATCAATGTCAATCTCAATCTCCCCCCCCTCTCGTCTCCCCAGCATGTGGCCTTTGGACTTTGGACATCACACCTGAGGCAAGTGGAGCTGACTTGTGTCCAGGCTGGAGGCTCTGGACCCTCATGACCTCTGCATGGTGAGGACCACTACCTCATGATGTGACCCATCCACTACCTGAGACCCCACATGTCCTTCAAATACCTTTGTAATGCATATGTAAGGAGTGCCAGCTTCTCCCCATACTCATGCTTTTATTACAATTCACATCCTGCTTTTATTACAATTTTCTCTGCTAATCTTATGAGCTCTCTGTATTTTTTAGATTTAAATTTACTTTTTAACTGCTACATAAAACTATAGCACATATATTTATGTGATGTTTTGACACATGTATACATTGTATAAAATTTAAATCAGAGTAAACATATCTATTTTCTCAAACATCCACTGTATCTTTTCATCTAGCTATTGGAGACATACAGTACAAAATCTCTATCCACAGCTGCTAAAATACACTGTGCAATAGCACACCACAGTTTCTCCCTCCTGGCTAATTGTAACCTCGTGCCCTTCAGTCAGCTTCTCCCCAGCTTTCCCTCCAACTCTCCCCAGCCTCTGGTGACACCATTATTCTCTCAACATCCATGAGACCAACTTTGGATCTCATATGTGAGAGATCCTGTATTACTTGTCTTGCCATGCCTGATCTACTTCACCTAACAATCTCCAGCTCCATCCACGTTGCATAAATGACAGGACTTCATTCTTTTTATGGCTGAATGGTACTCTGTTGCATGTAGATGCCACGTCTTTTTCATCCACTTGTCTGTTGTGGAACACTCAGGTTGGTTCCATTTATTGGCTACTGCAAACAGTGCTGCGGCGAACATGGGAGTGCAGATGTTCTTCAGCGTAGTAATTGCACCCCCTAACAGTGTTCCCTGTAGTGGGATGGCTGGACTATACAGTCATTCCACTTCTAGCTTTGGAGGAGTCTCCTACTGTTTTCCACAGTGGCTATGAGGAGCTCTCTCTAGATTGTTAAAATCTGACTCCTTCTTCTGACTCATAAGGACAAGTGGGTTGAGTTTTATGTAGTGCCCATTGCCTGGTTAAAGCCTTCCTAAGATGATATAAATGAGCAGGCATAATCCTTGTGTCTGTATATAAAAGGGGGAAACGTGCTTTCCAAAAAGAGGAATGCACACCAGAGCATGCTGGAGTCCTTGGTACCTGTTTGCTGAGTTAAGTTAAACACTCTACCCTCAGAGAAGACCAAGTAGCTCTTTTCTATAGCTTTTCTCCCACCAAAAGCCTTCAGGAACATGTCCATACTTCGAGTGAATCAGAAGGAAGAATAGAGGGAATATGAGAGCCTTTCTTGGGAGTGAAGATTCCAAGTGCAGGCCCACTCAGACTTCAAGGAAGAGCAGACTCCCAGAACCCCACAGTCATGAGCCCAGGGAAGAATGAGCAAGGGGATGGTCTGAATATCTGGACAGATACCTCTAGGGACAAGGCCAGAATTCAGCCAATTTTAACATAATCATGACAACTTTCTCGCTTGACCCATCTGAAAATCTCTCATAAACAACTAACCATATCTGAATTTCCCAGCTTGTACACTTGGCTGGGATCCCAGTACTGTCAACCCATTTCCCCACCTTGGGGCTCCTGGCAGCCCCACACTGGCCCTGCAGGCTATCTTGACATGAGCCCTGGTCTTTGTGCCTTTCCTTATCTCCTGCTACCAGCATGTTTATCCTCCACCTACAGTACTGTTGGCCACACACCCCGAGGATGCTTTTCCTTCTTTCCCAACTGCCAAAAACCGTGGTTGGTTATTTTTGCAAGAGTAATAGGAGAATTCTACAGAAGCTGGAGTGCTTGGATGCTTTTCCCAAATCTCTACACTACCCAGAGATGGTGTGTTCTGCATGGAATGTTCAGGACACTAAACTGATTCCCTCAAGGTCACCAGAATCTTCCTGAGAAGCCGGCAGCTGGACTCAGAGCTAAGTAAGTATTTCCTATTTTAATGGCACTCATCAAGGTCTTGGCTTTCTTTACTGCCTCCCCATGCCAAAGGGCAGGGAGGCACCCCGGGCTTTCCTAAAAGATAAGAACCACAATTAGCACCTGTGAGGTTTCCTAAGTAAAACCTCCCCTGGCTAGCAGCTCTGTTTCCAAAACCTTCTCTCCAAGCCAAGTTTATTAGGATGTCCACCAAGAATGACAAGGTATAGTAGGATGTCCATCCCTGCTGGGGGAGAGACCTGTGTCCTCCACCCGCAACTGTAAACATACATTTAGAGAAGCAGGAAAATGTGACATTGAGGTAATCTGTTAACAACATTCTGACCTCTAAGTAGGTAGATCTGAGTTTTAGTTTTCTCTATTAACATCTTGGGTTCCCGGAGGTAAAGGGCTAGAGGTTGGGCAAAACCCCTAGGATGAGTAGGTGAGATTTTTAAACTCCATTCATACCCAAGGGTGTCTACAGGGGGTTCTGTCACCCATGAGTAAGCAGGAGGGCATGGCATAGAATCGAGGCATTTCCAAGATTAATAGCTTGGGGTGATAAAGGAGTAACCTTTCTGTTCTGAGGCAGTACTTCCTTGATTTCTATCACTCTCGTGATAGCTTCTGTCCCATGTCTGGTGTCCATCTACCCCATGTGTCTGTCCCCAGCAGGGATGGCAAGGACACGGAGTAGAGCAGCCTCTGTGGCGAGCAGCCTCATCTTCCTGCTCTTCCTGAAGCTCCTGCCTTTGGGAAACGGTAGGGAGCCCTCCTGCAGCCCTAGGGGCGCCTCCCAACCTGCAGGGTGGGGATCCCAACCTAAGGGGCGGTCTCCGGGGGAAGGAGAGGGAGCCCCCTCTACAGTCCTAGAGGTCGCCAAGTCCCCCTGCCCCCAAATCTGCGGCCCTAAAGGTCCCTGAGTCCCTGCATCCCCACACTTGCAGCCCTAGGGATCTCAGGGTCTCTGTCTGTCCCTCCTCGGCCCTCCCCCCACCCGCTGGGCGAACCTAGGGATCCTCGCACCCCAGGGCAAAGATGGCTGGGCCCAAGTAGTCCTTTCGGGTCCCACCACACCCCAGGGAAGGCCGACTTCCAGGTGCTGGGGCCCCAGCACCCTGTGGTGGCTATGTTGGGCGAGGAAGCGGAACTGCGCTGCTGGCTGTCGCCCAACATCAGCGCGCACCTCATGGAGCTGCGCTGGTTCCGAGAGCAACCTTCGCCCGCCGTGCACGTGCGCCGCGCGGGGCAGGACAAGCCTGAGGAGCAAATGCCCGAGTACCACAACAGGACTACCTTCGTGGACCTTGACATGGCCCGGGGCGAGGCTGCGCTTCGCATCCACCGGGTCACAGCCTCCGACAACGGCAGCTACCACTGCCTCTTCAAGGAGGACAGGGTGCAGGAAGGCACCACCCTGTGGCTGCAAGTGGCAGGTGAGGGAGGCCCCGGGATTTCTGGTCTACCCAGGCCTGCCTGGCACTTCTACTGTGACAATCCTGGCGCAAGACTGGAGCTGAGATCCTTCTCTGACAAGTGCGCTGTGGGTGCCAGTCTCAGAATGCAGTTCTGATTACCTTGCACTGGAAAGAGGGGAGGGTGGAAGCGGCAGAGCAACAGTGAGAGGCTGAGACAGAGTCAGAGAAAATGAGAAAGTGAGCGAGAGAGGGAGACAACAGGAGAGAGATAGAAATAGAGGAAGAAGGATGGAGACAGAGAGAAGATGGAGAGAAGACAGGTACAGAGGTCAGAAAGGCAAGCGAGGGGAGAGAGAGCAAGTGAGGTACACAGGTGTTTTTGTTTGTTTTTTGTTTTCTGTGGGGTTTTTTGGTAGGGGGAGTTTCCCAAGGAAACTTTTCTTTGAGTCAGACCAACCTAAGTCCTATCCCCACACTCACTAATTATGTGACACAGGAAACTCAATCTGAAACTTTTTCTGTCTCATTTGTCCCATTTTATCTAGGAAAAGAGAGTATTATATTAGGACAAGTAGTGTATGAAAATTTGCTAATAACTACCAAACATCTTCAAGACTTTTTGTTGTTGTTATGGAAGCAGTTGTCACTACAAACACTCAAACTGATATTTCTTCCTTCAGGGGTGGGTTCCAAGCCCAGAATTCAAGTGATCCACACTCCAGACAGAGCTGTCTGGGCAGAGTGCACCTCTGAGGGCTGGTACCCAGAGCCCAAGATAGAGTGGAGAGGACAGAGAGGGTGTGCTAAGACCAACTTCTCAGTCTCAGCCACCACTGGCCTCTGGGCTGTGGTGTCCAGGGTGGCCCTCCAGGACGCGGCTGTGGAGGGCTTGTCTTGCTCCATCTCTAACCCTGTCCTCCCTGAGAGGAAGGTGGCTAAAAGTCATCTGCCTGGTGAGTACCCTCTTCAGTTCTGTTTGAGAATCACTGAGTACAGGTGTCCATGGCCATGTCCATGGGGACATTCTGAGACAGCTGTGGGGCTTGAGCCAGAGGAGAGGGGTGGCTGGTTGATATCCACAGCCTGGTCAAGGGTCCTGGAGAGACAACAGTCTGGGTGTTGATCACTGAGATGGGGCAGAGATGAGGGTACCAGGAGTCCCTCCAGGGGGCCTTGCATTTCAAGAAGAAAAAAAGAGGTGCACCCTGTTATTGTTTTTATGGGTTTTTCTGTCTTTTATAAAATATTTTAGAGCAGTTTTAGTTCACAAAAGATTTGAGTAGAAAGTACAACCAGTTTCCATATACCCTCAACCCTACACTTTTACTAGTATACAGGTTAGGGATATAGCTGAGCGGTTCAAGCCCCTGACTAGCAAGCATAACACAAGGTCATGAGTTCAATTCCCAGTACCAAAAAATAAAAATAAAAAAATGACAATAACAGTATAAAAATCCTACATCTATACCCCACCAGGTCATTCCTCTCTCCCTCTCACTCCTGGAAACCACCACTGCTGTCCCCACAGTTGCGCCTTTGCCACAATATCATTCAGTTAGGGTCATATACGATATAACTTCTTCAGACTGGCTTTTTTCACTTAGTAATATGTATTTAAGTTTCTTCTGTGTTTTTCTTGGCATGAAAATCATTTCTTCTGAGGGTTAATAATCTTCCACTTCCTTGACAAATCATAGTTCATCCATTTACCTACTAAAGTGTCTGTTTAACTCTTCATTAAAAGTTTTATTTAAAAAAAAGATAAGTGCTTACTTCAGCAGCACATATACTTTATGAAAAAGACACATTTACAGAAAATTTATAAGAATAATGGAGAACTCTGTATCCTTTACCCAGACTCACCACATTTTTAACATTTTACCACGTTTTAATCGTTCTTTCCATTTATCTACAAGTAGGCAGATATCTAATATCTATCGTCTATGAACACAAAGGCAGGGTATTTGTTATGGCCATCCATATGGGTGATGACAGTTGAGTCTACCCTGGCCTCGGTGACTCATGAACAACAGAAATGTGCTGCTCATAGTGCTGCAGCCTATACATGTAAGGTCAAGGAGTAGCATATTTTACGTCTGGCTAGGGCAGCTTCCCAGTTCACAGATGACCCTTTCTATGCCCTCACATGTGCAGGGGCCACATGGGCACTAGGGTCTCTTTCATAGGATCCCTAGTCCCATTCATGAGGCTTTGTCCTCATGATCTTATCATCTCTCAAAGGCCCCACCTCCTAACACCATCACAGGGTGGGGAGGGATTTAGCACAGGAAACTAGGGGACGTAAACATTCAGTCTATTGTATCGTATATACAAATATATGCATTTTCCTGAATGCTTTCAGAATAGTTTGTAACATCAAGCCCCTCAACCGATGAACCCTGTAGCATGTGTGTTGTGAGAACAAAAATGCTCTCTCTCCTGCTAATCTTGACCCCTGGAATCCCCCAGCACCTTTCTCCAGAGGATCTCAGTTCATGAAATGGAGACTAGCCCTGCCTCTCTCCCTCCTTGCTATGGGACTTCTGATGGCCGGAGTCATCTGCCTCTTTGGAAAATGTCAAAGGGAAGTAAATAGGACACAGCTGATGGAAGAGATAGAGAGAGGAGGAGAGGAGCAGATCCAGCAAGCCAGCATGGCAAGGCCAATGCCTCTCCATGGTGAGTAGGGAGCTCTACCCCCTCAGACCATGGACCTCCATGCCAAACCCCTGAGCCAAGGCTGTTTCCTCAAATCTAGAGGAGTGGAAAGACTAGTAGGGGTCCTGGCTCTAGAACAGACTGATTACAAACCAACAGTGAAAACACTTATCTCTGATGGGGTCCATTGCTTGGCCATTCACTGAATAATCCAGATAGGTTTTGTCTCCCTCTTAGAAATGAACAAATCTGAGCATGAACCTTGTACTAGTTCTTTTCCCGTTAGTATAACAAAATTCCTGAGGCAAGCTAACTTTATGAAGAAAAGTTTTCTTTAGTTCCTAGTTCTGGAGACTGAAAATCCAAGATCAGGTGGTCCTATCAGTTTGTCTCTGGTGAGGCCATCATGGGAGTTCGCATCCTGGCAGGAGATGTGTAGGAGATCACATAGTAAGACGGGAAGAATGAGGAACTGAGGTGTCAGGCTCACGCTTCCTAACAACTTTCTCAACTGTTGGCTAACAAGGGTCCCTAGAGAGCAACACTAATTTCTGGGGTGATACCCATTACTGAATTGTTTTGCCTCAACCCTCCTCTTAAAGGTCCACTGCCTCCCAACATCCCACACTGAGAACCAGACTCCCAACACATGACCCTGGGGCAGGGGAGACACTCAACTCAACCCACATCCAAATGACAGCAAAGCTGTCTGAAGGGTTCTGGCTGTGAGGTCTGGGTGTGAGCCCCAAGTCTGTCTATCTTCTGGGGATGATGCTTTCATCCTAAAGGGCTGCTGTAGTGCCAGCATAATAGCATCCACAGCAGAATCTGGTGCGTCAGAGGATTTGCTGCAGTGACCAGTATGGCCTTTGTCAATATTGGCTTTCTCCATTCATCTCTCTACTCATGTCTTCATGTATCACCTCAGGAGCTGGAGACCTGTCCCAAGGTTTGGGCTCTTAGGTTGGAGGAGCCTGCCCTTGGCTGGGTAGAAAGGCTATGTCAGGACAGATTCAGGAGGAAGAGGGTGCCAATGGACTATTTGGTGTAGCAGCTGTCCTTGAAATGAGAATTCGTCTTCCATTGTTTTATGGGACTTTTGAGAACATAGATTTGTTCTTTTTCCATAGAGACTCCAAGGGGAGCTCATTAGGTTCTCATTTGATTTAACTTTCCAGAACATGAGCTCTGGCCCCTTTTTGATGAGCAGGACTCCACCATACCATATCTTCCAATTTCATTGTGTATTGGGGTAGGGGTGTGGTGCTTATGCTCAATGAGGGCTCTGTTTTGAAGTCTGGAGCCTTTGCATCACAACTCTGAGTCTCATCCTGAGCCAGTTCCCTCTATAAAAAAGGATCCAGAAGTCCAGATCTAAGTGCATCTGCCAGAGATGAATGGGACAGGGTTGCTTACACGAGGGAACCTGTAATCAGAGCTGCTCACAAGGGAAAAGGAAGAAGTCATGAAGGGAGAAGGGGCAGTGCAGGGGAGATAAAAATGGGAGTTGGGGGACAATCATGTTAAGGAAAGGACAAGCAAACAGTCCCTGTTTAAAAAAGAAAGGGGACCAGGGTTTTCCTGCTAAAAGAGAAAAGGAAGCATTTGGGGAGAAAACTGAGGTCCAACCACAGAAGACCATAGATCCTTAAAGTCAGCAGGCTGCAGGTTCAGGAAATGGTGGGATACCTGGAAATCTTAAGGACACCCAGACAGCAACAGAACCAGAGGGAGCAATTGGCTGATCTTAGTGCTTGGGAAGGAGACTGTGGAGCAGCTGGGCACCAGGCTGGCCCTGCCTCCTCTGCCACATCACCCATGGAGGGCAGCTTGAGCTATGGGTCGGGTGCACCAAGGGACACGGATCATAAGGGAGAAGGCTTCCTTGAAGAAGCAGTCTTTTGTAAGATGTTTGTCTCAGCACCTGGGCAGGTGAACCCCTCCTGGAGCTGTCCAGATAAGGTGGAAGTCGACAGCCACAGCTGTTGACCACATGGTCTATGGCCGGCTGTGCCCATGCCACCCTGGTGGTCCCATCTCTCACTGTCTCTTTGCCTATCTCTGACCTTTCTCATTATCACTCACTGTGTATCTCTCTTTCTCTGTCTCTCTGTCCCTCACTGTGTCTTTCTGTCTCACTTTGTCTCTGTATTGCTATCTGTATCTTTCTCTTTCTGTGTGTCCCTGTGTCTGTCTCTCCATATCTCTCTGTATCTCTGTCTCTTATATCTATCTTTATCTTTGTGTCTGTCTCTCTGTATTTCTGTTTCTACCTCAGTATCTGTATTTCTCTGTCTTTCTGTCTGTATTTCTCTCTATCTCAATCTCTATCTCTCTCAGTGTCTATCTCTCTGTCTCTGTATCTCTGTTGTCTCTCTGTCTCTGTCTCTGAGACAGTATCTCTGCTTTTGTCTCTCAGTCTTTGTCTCCATCTTGCTGTCTCTTTGCCTCATTTATCTGACTCTGTTTGTCAGTCTCTCTCTATCTATCTCTGTCTCTATCTCTGTTTCTGTCTCTCAGTCTCTGTCTATCTGTATCTCTGTGTCTCTGTCTCTTTTACACACAAGGCTCGAGAGAGCCTGAGAAAGCTCAGTAGACATACCAGCACACTGAAGATGACCTGGCTATGTCTACCATCACACTCACCCCTCTCCAGGACCTTTCAGCCTCCTGCCTGTGTGTCCCCCTACTTGGGGACAGGCTATTGGAATGGGCTTCTTGCACACAACATGGAGACAGCAAAAGCAGCCCAGAGATGGAGGGGACACACTTGGGAATGTGGGAACACAAGGTCAGTGCCTAAGCCCCTCTCTTTTCACAGTGAGCCCATCACTGGATCCTGACACTGCGAGTCCCAAACTCATTGTGTCTGAGGATCAGAAAAGTGTGCGACGCCTGCTCTTCGACCAGGACCTGCCCTCTAGCTCCAGAAGATTTGAGCGGGACCCCTGCATCCTGGCCCAAGAGCGGTTCTGGGCTGGGAGGTATTACTGGGAGGTTGAGGTGGGGGACCGGAAGGCCTGGATTCTGGGTGTATGCCTAGAGAGTGTGGGTCGGGAAGGCAGGGTCCCCAAGGCCCCACAGCATGGCCTCTGGGCAGTGGAGCTTTACAAGAATAAGTTCCGGGCCCTCTCCTACCCTAGGACTCCCCTCTCTCCATCCCAGCCTCTCCATAAGGTGGGCATTTTCCTGGACTGGGATGCAGGAGAGATCTCCTTCCACAATGTGGCTGATAGTTCCCTGGTTTACACATTCCATGGACTGACTTTTTCTGGCCCTTTGCAGCCATTTCTCTGCCTCTGGACCCATGACCCCAGGCCCCTGACCATTTGCTCAGTGGTGAGAAAGACGCAGGAAGCCATCAGAACCATTCCTCAGGCCTCTGACTTTCCCCATGGGACTCCTAGGAGTCTGTTAGGTGGAGAGCAGCACCTACATTCTCCTTGCTCCTGCCTCTGGTGATGGTTACTAAAGCCTTATGTAAAATAATGCTAACACAATTCAGGAGCTGAATTGTGTCTCTCCCCGTAAATCCACACAATGAAGTCTTGACCTCAAGAGCATCAGAATATGGTTGCTTTTGGAGAATGGGCCTTTAAAAAGGTGATTAAGGTAAAATTAGGTCACTTGGGTGGACCCTAGCCATATAGGTATTGTAACTTCTTAGGAAGAAGAGATCAGGACATAGATACACACAGCAGAAAGCTCCTGAGAGGACTCAGACAAAGGCCATCTCCAAGCGAAGCAGAAAGGCTTCCTTCCTCCTTCTCCCTCCCTCCCTTTTCTTCCTCTTCTTGCCTTCTCTTTCTCCCTTCCCTTCCTCCTCCTCCCCCTCCTCCTTGGTCTCCTCGTACTCCTGCCAGCAATCACTCAGTCATCTGGTCATCCTCAAATCCTTTTCTCTTCCTCTCTTGGTGTGATGGGTTAGTACAAGCCATGGAGAAGACAAGCCAAAGACCCCATGATTCCCAAGCTTACCCTTGGCATTGGTCAGAGTTTAGTCAGGACAGAAACCACACCAGCTATTCAACAGAGAGGACATACTAGGCTTGTAGCAGCATCAAATCTCTGTCATCTGCCTGTCTCTGTGCTTCAACTCCCTTTTCTTAAGGCTTTCTTTTTTTTGTTTGTTTGTTTTTGTTTTTCTTCCGGTACTAGGAATCGAACTCATGACCTTGCGCTTGCCAGGCAGGCGCTTTGCCACTGAGCTAAATCCCCAGCCCCATCTTAAGGCTTTCTCTTAAGAGGATGCATCATTGGGTTCTAAGCCTACACTAAAGCAGGATGATCTCATCTTGAGATTCATGCCTTAATTGTGTCTGCAAAGACCTACTTTTAAAGAAGTCCCATTTACAGGTATCAGGGTTGGGACTCAGATGTATTTGGGGGGCCCTCACTGAGTCCACTGCAACCAGTGTGGAGATAGGTGACACTGTCACACCTCTTCTCAGGTCAGGAAGAGCAAGGACCATGTAGGAAACTCTCAATGTTGTAGGCAAAAATGAAGAAGTCCTAGCATTCCAGGCTCAAGGTCAAGGGTACAGATGTGGTTGGTTGGTGAAGTGGCTAGGAAATGCTATGGAAGCAGGTGGCCCTGTGCCAAACTTTAGAGAGAAGCTGGGATTTGCATGGACCAAAATGGGGGAGGATTAGAGAGAAAAGCCCTTCCTAGAGAGTGAGCCCAGACCCTTCCTGCTGAGCTACATCCCAAGCCTTTTTTATTTTAAGACAGGAGCTTGCTAAGTTGCTAATTTGGAAAAGCTGAGCTCAACCCCTAGTCTCAGCCCCCTTTTTACCATAGCTTCCTGCATCCTTAAGGAGATACATTTCTAAAATGTTCTATCCTCTTTTTGTTTATTAGTGATATTTATATGAAATGAATTTGCTAGTTTCAAGGGTACAGTTTGATGATTTGGGGCCATCATATACAAGGAAGTAGTGGCACCATCAAGAGCTTGGACATTTCCTCACTAAAGATTCCCTGGAATCTGTCGGAATTTGATCCCTGCCTCCAGCCTCCACCCTAGGCAACCACTGACCTGTCCTCTACAGGGTGGTTTACTTTGGTTTGTCTTCCACTCATTATTGCTCTTAATTTGGAGAAAAAGAGGTCCCCTTCATTTGTTGTTGGATGAAGTCTAGAACTATCATTTTATCTTTGTTTTCTGTGTAACTTATCTACATGATAACCCCTTCTTGCTTGTTCTGGATACAGAAAACTAAATATTGCATGATTTCTCTTGCATGAGAATCCCAAAATATAAACAAAGAGTAAGATACAGAAGAGATGGCAAGAAACAGAGAGACACACTTTTTGGAGATGGGGAAGGGGTTCAGGGGAAAGGTGAGAGGGGTGAGTGGGGAGATGGCAAAGATTAAGATATGACTTATATCTGTACCAATTCCCCAAAATGAATGTAAATATTCTGTATGGGAAACATAGACAAATAAATAATACCAAAAAATTCTCCCCCTGCCTCTTTTATTATCAGGGTTTTTCTTTATTTGAATTTTTGTGTTCGAACACTCAAGGTCTGCTTGTGCATGACTTGAAGCACCCAGGCTAGGATTGCTGCTGTCAGCATCACCCTGTGCGGCTGAGCTCCGTACCTGTGACCCTTGCCTCTCACTGCCCACCCTCAGCCCTGGAAACCACCACTTGGCTCTCTCCTGCTATGACTTTGACTGCTTCTAAGTGGGATCATAAAGTATTTGTCTCTCTGTGCCTGGCTTATTGCATTCAGCACAGTGCTCACCAGATGCATCCAAGTGGTGGGAAATGTCAAGATTTCTTTTGCTGAGGCTAAATAAAAACTCAATGGCAAAATCCATTTATAACAATGAGAACAATAACAATCTGATTTTAAAATGAGGTAAGGGCTTGAATAGACATTCCTCTGAAGACGTACAAGCTGCCAACAGATGCATGAAAACATCGCTACTCATTAGGCACTGGTCATATCACTTGGCACCTGTTAGGCTGGCCTTTACCAAAACACAAAAGCGAACTTAACAGTGTGGTGGGGATGGGGATTAATTCAGCCTTTATGGAAAATAGAAGAGAGTTTCCTTAAAAACTTAAATATGGAGCCACCATACGATCTAGCAGTCCCAACAGGTATAACTCAGAGTAAATAATCGGTGTGTTGACACACCTGCACACTCCTATTCACTTTAGTACTGTTTACACTAGCCAAGACACAGAAATGATGTAGATTTTTTTGATGAGTGACTGGGTGAATAAAATAAGCACACACATCCCAAGGTCTGTCCCTGTCTTCAGTCACATACTGCCTGACAGTGCACTGACAGACATGGAGTCCTCTGGGAGTGCACAGGCCCTGCTGGGCCCTGCTGCTTCTCTTTAGCAACAGGATGCCTCCAGATATCTATGCCCACCGCAGGTAACCCCAGGCCCAAAGGGTCCCTGCCTGCTCAGGGGACTCCTCAGCCAGGCTCCTGGTGGTCATGTCGGGGCTGCCAGGCCCTCATAGCAAGAGGAGATGGCAGCCCTCCTGGCAGCCCCTGGACAACGGTGGCACCAGTGTCCTACTCTGGTATCCCCTCATTAGCATGCTGAACTTTTCCTCAGTTCCCTTCAGAAGTCCAACCTCCTGAGACTGGCTAATTCTGGACAATCGTGACAGTCCCTTAATGGCAAAGAGTTTGAGGTGTCTTTCAGGAAAAGCATTTTCAAGAGTAGACTGGTACAGAGGCAGCCAGCTCATCCTGCCAATGAACTCTGGCATCACAAGCTCAAAATCTTCTGCATGGAGCATGGTTTCCCCCAAACACTGTTCGACCATGGAAAGGCCTGGTGACTACACCTACCCTCCAGGTGCAGGCAACAAGCAGCTGCACCCCCCACCCCATGAACCTCCTGCATCTGCCCTCCTGTTAGATGCCTTCCAGGAAGCTCTATCCTTTTACAGGATGGAGCCACAGAACTGGCTGCTGGGTATCAGGGGGGCCTTTGAATAGGACTGGATTTGGGGACAGGGCCTGGATCTGTTACCCAGTAGGACACAGGATATTTTGGATATTCCTGTCCAACAGGATGGGACATTTTGAGAGAGAGACAGAGACCCACACCTGCTGCCTGCAACCTGGGTGCAGCCCTGATGTTACCAGGCCTGACGAGCCAAGACCCCACCCCAGGTGTGTGTCCTGAGCCCAAAGTCCAAATGAAGGCCCTCTGAGATCAAGGCACTTGTCCACAGATCACTTTTCCCTGACCCTAATGCTAACATCATCATTGTTGTAGTCAGGGTATACAAGGGAAACAATACAGGACACAAAATTTATAGGATTATTTTATAATACTCACCCAAAGAGTCATACACAAAGACAGTACAGGAAATCTGTCACACACTAAAGAACAAAGAATCCAGCTAAGGGCCTGGGTCCCATGGCAATGTCCTGCATGAGTCCAGCTAAAGTCCTAGAGCCCATAGCCATGCCCCCCACAAGTCCAGCTGGAAGCCAAAAGCCCACAACAATGTCTCATGCAGGCCTGTTTCACGGATCTGCATTGGGAAGGCCCAAAGGCCAGTGGTGGAAGCTACAGAGTCTGTGCCAGCAGGATGAAGGATCTGTGCCAGCAGGCTGATAGATCTGTAGTGGAGTCAGGAAGCAATGCTCAAAAGAACCAGAGCTCCCCTGAAAAGGAATGCAGTCATGCTCAGCAACAGTAAGGTCCCAAACTCCTCCAATGATGAGAACAGCCAAGTTCCTGTCAGGAAAGCCAGTGCAATGAGCTTCTCCAGGAGACCAAGTGTGCACCATCTTCCCCTCTACAGCCAGGAAGCGATGCACAAGGTAAGGACCATGGCTCCACCAAAGTGAACTGTAGCCATTCTCAGCAAGAGTAAGGTTCCGAGCTCCTCCAACAATGAGAAAAGCTGAGTTCATTAGGAAAGCCAGCATGAAAACCTCCTCCAGAAAAACAAACAGCTACCTACAGCCTCCCAACAGCCTCAAACAGCTTCCAACAGCTTCAAAACTTTTTTCTCTCCGGTTCTGCCTCTTATGCTGCAGGGAACAATCCTCAGGTGGGCCTCCCACACCCAGCACCATGCTGGTTGAGTTCAGCTGGGTGTTACAAGTTGACCACCAGTTGTCAATCCACCACAGTCATGGAGGTGCCCAGCAAGGTGCTTTACCAGCTCTCTGGTCACTGTCCCCTACCCCTGTAGGTCCTAGGCCATACCTTCAGGGAATTCAGTAAGCAAGCCAGCGGGACTCCACCAAACCACCCTTTCCCCCCACTCTCGCTGTCTGTCTCTATCTCTGTCTCTGTCTCATTCTGCCATCTCTCCCTCCCTCTATCCTCCCTCCCTCCTTCTGTTCCTCTTTCTCTCTCTGTCCTTCAGGTACTAGGGATTGAATCCAGGATTTTAGCACTGAGCTACATGCCCAGCCCGCTTGATTTCTTATTTAGAAACAGGGTCTCTGTTAAATTGCCAAGCTGCCAGGCTGGACTGGAACTTGGGATTCTCCTGCCTCCACCTCTAAGAGTGCTACCCATCACATTCTTCACGTTGTGGAGCCCTACTTTCCTCCTGGCCCCCACTCTTAATTTACCCTGTAAAATGCCCAGAGACTACCATACAAATGCCAGTTATTTTCCACTAGATTCTTTGCCCTATTGTAGCATAGTCAAAAAATACCTAATGTTTAAATTAAAAGTAAAAAATTTTACTTTTAATTTTGTGGTGGCACACACATGTAATCTCAGCACTTGGGAGGCCAAGGCAGGAGGATTTCCATGAGTTCAAGGCCAGACTGGGCTACATAGCCTACATAGCAAAGCCCTGTCTCAAAAAAATTTTTTAAAAAAACAACAACAAAACATTGTATTACAGTAGAAGAGATATTACCATTGCTCCCCTCAAAATCCTTTCCCTCATTTTGAACATACTTCTGCCATCATTTCTGGCACTTTCTGAATAAGTTCTGGAAGTTCTCTTCCCTGAGTGTCTTCACAAGGTAGGATGAAAAACATAGTAAGTGCTACTGCCAAGGAACATCCAACAGAAAGGCAGCTCCTAAAAACATGACGCTGTCCTCATCCACCTTATTCACCAGATCTGGCACCATTCAACTTCTGTTGAAAGTCAAAGTCAAAGTGACCATGAAAGGTAAACATTTTGAATTTATTCGGGACATCAAGGCAGCCACAACAGCACAACTAAAGACCCAAAGGAGGACTCCAGAGCTGATTCTGGAGGCAGGAAGGATGATGGATAAGTGTGTTTGAAGTGAGACGGAGGATTTTGAAAGGGATTCATAGCAGTGTCTTCTACTATAATGATTTTTAAAATTTAAACATTCACCATATTTTTCAGTCAGACCTCTTATGTTCCTGGTTAAAATCTGTCCTTAACCACTTCAGTGTTTGGATTTATCATTGACAGGAGAGAGTAAGATGAGAACATCACTTACCCAATATTTTACTAGGCATTGATTTAGAGTCCTCTGGCTTCTGCTCCTCAGCTGATTTTGTAGTGTCTCTCCATGTCCCTGACTTTTATGGCGGTCGGTCATTGCAAGCGAGGTTTAGAAGATGCTGTGATGTCCAGGGGAAAAGAACCGCGCGCTTGGTGGGGAAGGCAATCGCTAACTCAGGATGTCAGGTGGGCAGTGAGAAGAAACGGGGGAGAAGAAACGAGGCGCATCAGCAGCGCCCCTCTTGATTATTTATTTGGTAACCATCAAAGGGCCCCAGGGCCTCAATTGCCAAGCGAGACTTTGTGGTGGTTCTTCTGCGGGCGGCCAGGATGTTGAGACAGCGGCCAACGCAACCTCCTCGTCATTGCGCGTGGGTGGCCTGCTGCAGGCTGCACGGTATGATCAAAATCGCCCGCCAGCGCTCTGCCATCAAGTACTGCAGCCTTGCGCGCGGCGATCAAGCCTGCCTCTTCCGAGCACCCTTCCTCGGTGAGAGCCGCGGCCGGCATGGTTAAGGGGCAGGGGGAGAGCAAAACCGCTCTGATTTGGATTGTGAGAACCTGCCTTCACATCCAACACGACTTGTCACAAAGCCTTTATATCCAGCAGCAGATACTGCGCCTACCAAAGGCCGAAGGCGCTCAGCAACTCAGGATTCTCATTGGCTACTCTGCGGAAGGCTTAGTCCAATCAGACAAGGTCTGGAAAGTCACTTCATTTGCATACGGCCCTGCGCACTCTGACCAGCACAGCTAGAAGACAGCAGTGTTCTTGTCACCATATCGCCTCTGCAAGTTGGAAGCCAAAGATCTGTCGTTCCAGCTTAGCCCGCTTCTTAGGTGGGAGGACGGGGACCTCCTCTCCCTCTAGTCTCGGAGGACCCTCGGCACCTGGAACAGGCAGTCGGGAAGAGGACAAGAACGCATTACGTCCGCGGGGTCTCGGGGGAAGTGGACCCCGAACCTGGAGACTGGGAACCTGATCTGTGCACTGTTCACGGGGAGGGAGTGCGAAGTGCCCTCCACCCGGCGTGAAGCCCGAGTAGGGCAGAGGCCCCCAAGAAGGCGGTCCCCAGAAGGACGGGGCGGTGCACCTTGGGAGCTTACCTGCCTTCAGCACCAGTTTGTGTGGGGGGCAGTGCCTCGAGCCCAGTTCCCCAAACCTAACCCCGGGGCTGCAGGTACTCCGGAAAGATGGCTCAGTGTTCAGGAAGACATCCTGGTCATCGGCCAGGGTGAGGGCTGCGCACAGGTCACTCCTGCCCTAGGACCTGGTTATCTTCTATAAAAAGGCAGCCTGAGCTGGGACAGCCCCAACCCCCTTTTCCTACAATGCAGCTTCCGCTTTCTTCTTGTGTTGCAATTCCCTTCACCCCTTCTTGGTCCCCAGACTAGTTCCATTCCCATCCCACAGGTACCAGGTTCCACTGTTTTGTGAGTGGCCTCTCCAACCATGGAGTTGTGCCTGCCCACGTCCAGGCTGGGCACTGTTCTCACACCTTTCATGGTACCCTGAAGCCTTGCCTCGAAGGGTGCGTCCGGTTCCCCCATTCTTCCAGGGCTGTGGTATCCCTGGTGCTAACCCCACTTCACTCCACCTCACCAGAGAGGGGCACTGGGTGCCGGCCCTCCTGCCACCACCTGCAGTGGTGTCCCCACTGTGGACCTGGAAGGAGGTGGGAAGAACTGCTGTGTCCTTGCGTCACTGTGCTCTTCATCTGATGAAGTCTGAAGAGTGAGACACCCTTCTGCACCCAGCAGCAGAGGCTAGGAGGTAGGGGACTGAAAGCTGCTTTCTTGCCTCCCCAGTCCAACAAGGTCAAGTCATCACTCTTGTCAGTGTTCACTGCTCAAAAATCCAATAAGCACTCAGGGAGGCTGAGGCAGGAGGGTCACAAGTTCAAGCCCTGAGCAATTTAGTGAAACCCTGTCTCAAAAATATGCTGGGCATGCTGGTATAGGCCTGTAATCCCAGCACTTGGGAGCCTGAGGCAGAAATATCATGAGTTCAAGGGCAGCCTAGGCCAAATAGTGAGTTCAAGGCCAGCCTGGGGTATATAGTGAGATCCTGTCTCAGAAAAAGAAAGAAAGAAAATATATTTTTCAAAATTTTGGGGGATCTGGGTATGTAGTTCAGTGCATAAGCTCTGGATTCAATCTCCAGTAACAACAACAGCAACAAAAAAAAACCACCTCCAAGTTGAGGCATCTCTCCCTAAGACTTTGAGTCTTTTTGGCTTCCACTATGGACTGAAGTTGTCTCCCCCAGAATTCGTAATGAAATCCTCCCACTCCCAACCTTTGATATCCAACCCCCACTATCGGATGGTTTCTTACCACCACCCCACCCTAGCTGGTGTCTGGCCCCCTGACACCTTCAGCAAGAACCTTGTTTACTGGGTTCAGCCAGAGCCCCTCATTTCCTATACTTGGACCCCAACCTGCTCCTGGGTTGCAGGTTTGCACTCTCCCACACTGGGTTTAAGGCAAAGCCTGATCTCCCTGATGTGAGACCCTCTGCAGTGGCCACGTACCCATCTCAATGCTGCTGGAGGAAGTTTGCCCTGCTGTGCCTTAACCAGTGTCGCTGAGCGATTTCTCCTTAACCCTGCGGACTGCCCAGTGGCACGGGAAGCATGACAGCAGACAAACCAGAGGCATGACAGGAGACAAACAGGCTGGAGCAAACCCACTTTATTTAGTTCTGACAGCCCAAGCCACAGGAGCACGTCAGACACAGCCACCATATCCAAGCCCAGGGACTCTTCAGGACAGAAACTGTCCCCCCAAAATGGCCCCACCTGCAACCCCATCAAGCCCTAAACCACATGCTTCAGGGAATCAAAAGTCACATCTATATCTGCATTCCCTGACCAGGTGACTCTGTCCGTTCCAGGTTGAGGTTTTGTTGTCTGGACTAATCTACACACAACACTGCAAGCAACAATGCAATGACTATATCATGCATGTGGTAAACCCCACCTACCAGAGGAAACCAGAAGCAAGAAGCAGCCAAGAACATGGCAGAGTGATACCCCAGGATGAGCCTGGAGATGTCTTGGGGAACCCCTCGGCCCTCCCCGTGATAGGAGTCCATTCCACGAGAGGAGTGAAGGACGGATTGGGAATGTTCTGGGGTCACTGACAGCAGCCAGGGGGCACAAGCTAAGGAGGAAAGGGGATAGTCCAGGAGACCAGCACTAGGGCTCTGAGCATGAAGTACAGCAGGGCCCAAGGGAGGACCTTCAAAAGGGCCAAAGCCATGCCATTCCTTCCTTCCCTTCCTATAAGAGCTGGGTCACATCCAGTGAGACCCTCCCTTGGCACCAGCCTCAAATCCATCCATGAGTTGTGTGCCCTTGCCCGGGGAAGAACATCCTGTGACCAGCCCATCCTGAGCACTGGGAAGATGGCCCAGCACACCAGGTACCAGGCTGTGTGGCCAGGTGAGGAGCAGGCGATACACTGGGGAGGGCTCAAGACCACACTTGGTAAGGCAGTGGTGCGGCCTGCACACTCACAGCTCGAGGAGGGGAAAACAACGCTTGGCTGAAACCCGGACCTTTGGGCACCAGTGCTGCTTCAGCTGCTCCATCCAGGGTGGCAGGTGATGGTGGCAAAGAGACCCATAGGGGAGTGGGTGGGGCTGCTGCAGGCCAGCTATGCAGGGTAGTCCTTTCTGCCCTCAGGCACAGGGGGGGCCCAGCTGGGTCAGTGCCTTCACTGCAGGAAGGGAGAAAAGAGAGAGAGATAGAAACGGAGATGGAGACAGACAGAGATGGAAACAGACAGAGAATGAGAAAGATGCACAGAGAGAGAGAGAAAAAAAACAGTTGTGAGACAGAAGCTGAGAAAAAGCAAGACAGAGACAGCTAGCTACTGTCCTGGGTACCACAAAACCATACCAGAGGTGATGTAACACCCACCCAAATAGGCCCAGCCCTTCGACCCTGTCACAGCTGGTGCACACATGGCACAGTGTAAGACTGGCCCCAGGCCAAACCTGAAGGCTATTCTAGCTGCTCCAGGCCCGGAAGCCCAGGCTGGGGACCTCAGTGCTCCCACACCCAGTCCCATGTGAAGGCCGAGGACACCTATTCCCTCCTCTGTCTCCGTCCACTCCCCACATGCAGCCTGAGGCCATGACCCACACAGGCAGGATGTCTGCAGCTTCCTCTACTCGGTCAAGACCTTCTTCCTGACGGACCTCCCACTCTAGGCACGATACCTGCAGCAGCATGCTCAGGCCCAGGCTACGGTGTTTCTTCTCCAGCTCCAACACAGCCTGCAGCAGAGACCGGAACCGCTCAGCGGGGTCAGCAGGCTCATCCTCCAGGGCACCTTCCTCCTTCCCAGCCTCTTGCAGGAAGTGCTCCTCCTCCTCTGCAAAGAAGGCCCGAAGCTTCCTGTAGTCAGTCAGGGCCTTCTTCCTTCGGTCCATCACGTGTCCCTGCAGGTGGGCAGTGGAGAGGACACCTGTGTTCCTGGGCCCACCTTCCCAACCCTGGGGTACAAAAAAACTGTCTGCACTCAAGGGGGTCCAGACTGTGACATCCCAAAATACGCTGCCCAGCACTTTGAACTGTGAGGCCACTTATACCTCTGCTGCTTCTCAAAGTGGATAAACTCACAAAGACCTCATCTCTGGTCCCCATGTGTCCCCAGAGATGTGCATGCTGGCCCCAGTCTAGTGGCACTGAGACAGTGGGGCCTTTCAGAGGGGCTAGGAAAGGTGGCCCAGGAAGCCTTGGTTCCCCAAAAGCAAGCTGATGTCAACAGGGCAAGCCTCTCCGTCTCCCTATCACTTCCACATCTCCCACTGCAATGCCACCTACCATGGGGCCCTAACCACAGCTAAACACATGGTGCCACCTAGCTGTGGCCTTTCAGCCCCCACACCTGTGAGCTACATAAACCTCTTTTCTTTATAAAATACTCAGCCTCGGGAATTCTTTTACAGCATTAGAAAATAGGCTAGTGTGCCCTCTCTGTAATAAAGGAATGATGGGCATTTCTGTCATTCAGGCAGAGATGGCTCTGCAGAGACCTTGTTAAAACAGCTCTTTTCTTTATGCCTCCCAACATCACTCAGTTGGTTTTTCACCACCTGCTATTCTTTGACCAACTCAGTCTGTAACAACTGGACTTACCTGCTGCTTTGGGTCTTCCTTTCCTCACAAAAGCTTTGTGCCCTCCTCAACCTGTGCCAAGGATGTGTCTGTTCTAACCCATTCATCTGTTTTACACCAATTCAGTACTCTCACCCAGCCTGGAGAGTCTTTGTCTCCCCCAAGAATGAGTTCCAGGACCCTCAACCCAAGGATGTGAACATGTGGATTTGCGAGCCCCTCCCATAAAATGGTGCTGGATTTGCACAGAACCTATGTCATTGCCCTGTGTACCTTAAATCATAACACCTAACACAATGTAAACACTGTGTAGTTATTCCACTGCCTTGCTTAGGGAATAATGACAATAAACAACTGTCCATGCTCAGCACTGATAGCCATTGTAAGACACAGGGCCAGCATGACACACAGGGCTGACCCATGTGCTGAAGACCCCACCATGCTCCTTCCTCACAGTCCTGCACACAGCTGTCTGTTGCAGCACATCTGCCTTTAGGACTCTCAGGCCACCCTCATCAGAGAAGCAGACCCTCTTCTTCCAGGAAGCAGGAGTGAGGAACAATCCACTCACACTCACACATCACACTGGCCCTGGACCATATAGTACAGGGTCAGCCATGGTCATCAGACCAGAACATGGGAAGGAAGAGGACTCCTGCTGGTTTTGCCAGACTCTATTTAGGAAATACTCACAAAGTACATACTTAAAAAATATCCTAGGCTCACTGAGTCTACTCAAGGCCCTCTCCAGCCCATGCCCTATATCCAGGGGGGCCCCTCCCCTCAACATTCCCACTTACCTTCCACACAGCAGCTGCAGACTCTGCCTGGCCATGCAGGTCCCGGGCATCGTTTAAGTCCTTTCTCATGATTTCCACAGATCCCTTGTTCTCCTGGGAGAGAGAAGCTGCACACTGGGAGACAGGCAGACGGTCCCGGGCCCAGCCCAGCCAGTCCAGGGGACTTCACAACACTGATCCCACTAAGTCTGTCCTAGAAATAACCCTGGTACAAGTCTGGCTGCCACATCCCAAGCAAAAGAGAAAAGGCTACAGGCACCACAAGGTGTGGCAGATATTTCCATGATCCTCATCTTCCCAGAAGCTGGCCACAGCCCAGGCAGCTCTTCAGCATGGCCTGCCATCCATGTTCTTAAGTGGGCTCCCTTTGGGGGAACTTAGTCCAGACAAGGCCTGCTCAGCCTCCTCAGCACCTTGCCTCAGGAAGGGGAAAACCAATGGCAGTCACTCCAGAATAGTACAGGGCACAGCCTGGGCCTTTCCTCTAGTGTGCCTTGGTAGTAGCCCCAGGTCCCACGAAAGCCCACCAACCCGGCCAGGCTTCCTCCTCCCTGTACAGGGCCCAGACAGGTGGGTCAGTACCCAGAGACTTGGCCACATACCCTCAGCACTGTCACTGATCCCCAGCTACACATAAGAAGTGCAGCTCCAAGCCCCCAGGACCTAGCTATGGCCAGATTCAAGGTGAGTTTCTGCACAACAGCAGCTCCCAAATGCAGTTGCCAAGATCACAGCAGAGAAAGTTCAAAGAATAGGATGCACGTGGTGGGGTGGGCCTGGGGGTAACCTCAGAGGGCAGAAGTACTGGGCGAGCTGCAGGATGCCTACTGGAGGACTAGGGCCACAGCCTGGTCCCCAGGACAGAACTTCGGTCCCCGGCAAGGGGGGCGCAGCACCCTCAGGGCGGTGAGGGCGGCCACCCTGGGAGATCTACCCGGAGGGAATCTGTGAGCCTCTAGGATGAGAAGGGAAGGGGGAGAACAAGGTCCAAAGTGGAGCGGGAAACGTGACACTGCGAGGCCAGGTGCTGCCGTGGGGAGGTGGTCAGCGCAACTTCTGGAAGCGGGGAGGAAGGGCCCAGCACCGGGAGCGGGGAGAGAAAGGTCCCCGGGGTGGGTAAAGGTCAGGACTCAGAGGAGAGGACAGAGCCTGTGGTTGCCAGAGAACCATGAGGACCAGGGGATGGAGAGTAATTCGGGTACCTCGGAACCCCAGACAGGAAAGGTCAAGACAGGGGTCTGGGCTCCTCGGGGACCCAGGGTTGGGGCGGAGCGGTCAGAGCAGGGACCCGCTCCGCGGGGTCGCCCCCACCCCTCGCACCTTGCCGCGCAGCGCCCTCCTCCAGCGCGGCTCCCACTCGGGCGGCGCGGGGCCAGCGGCCATGCGACACTCGGCGCACAGCGGGTCGCCGTCGGCGCGACACAGCA